ACCATTTGATCACGAAATGATTTTGTAACCATTTAGCTGTAAATGAAACTTTATTATAGAAATAAAAGCTTTTATTTGTAATTTATTCTACCATTGAGATAAACATCAACATTTTGCACAAAAAAAAGGCTTTTTGGTGACATATAAAAGACGGACGCTTGACAAGTTCAAAATACAAAGATTCGCAATAAAATGTAATTTCATTTTGTGTTTCGATTTCGGTTCAATTTCAATAAGGAAATGTAGACATAAGATAGATAGTTTATGATTTTTTTTAACACCCTTAAGTCCTATAAATCAAATATTTATACATGGCCGGGTTTTAATTAATTTGAAGAAATAACTGAAAAGTACTGCGGATGCATTGAAATATTGAAAGTTTTTTTTTTTACTTTACCTGACACATTTAGTTTAAATACTAGGTTCCCGAGGTTAATTTAAAAAGTCTGTTTTCAGAGACAAAGAGGCTGTGACATGTTTATCATCTCTTCATGATAAGTATGTTGTAGTTCCTATGGACAAAGTGTCAAATAATATTGTCTTTGTCAACTTCAGAAATAATACACGATTGTCTTGAAGTATAGATTCTGCGTACTGACGTTGTTTATCATCTTAATAACGTGTTATAGTATTCTTTTATTTGTCTTTATTAATATCACTTTTACTGTTAATATGAAAAAAGAAGATGTGGTATGATTGCCAATGAGACAACTCTCCACAAGAGACCAAATGACACAGGAATTACCAACTATAGGCCACTGTACGGCCTTCAACAATGAACAAAGCCCATACCGCACAGTCAGCTATAAAAGACCCCGAAATGACAATGTAAAACAATTCAAACGAGAAAACTAACGGCCTAATCTATGTACAGAAAATGAACGAAAAACAAATATGTAACACATAAACAAACAACAACCACTGAATTACAGGCTCCTGACTTGGGACAGGCACATACATACAGAATGTGGCGGGGTTAAACATGTTAGCGGGATCCCAACCCTCCCCCTAACCTGGGACAGTGGTGTAACAGTATATCATAAGAACGAACTATAAAAATCAGTTGAAAGAGGCTTTACTCGTCAAATGGATAAAAATACAAATACTACAAATACAAGTGGACGTGGCCGGGTACTTTTACATCCAAACAAAAAAAAGACACTAAGTACAGATCTGAGAGTACTCGCAGTTACTGATAGCTAGTTCAAAGCCACTAACAACTAATAAAAGAAATCATGCATCTAAGACTAAATTATCAATCCGTACACATCCAACATCCAATGGATTTAGTGTAAAGACGTCATAAACAGTCAGAGAAAAACATGACCTTGTGCAATGCCAAGATACAGGTATCGACAGATTGTAGATCCATGAATGTGTATATGTATATAACAATAACATTTATTTTGCTTTTAATTTACTGATAACAAAATCAATATTAGTACCAATAAAAACAATATTTAATGATCTAATTACAGTGTTGAATCGGTAACCTTTTAGAATAAGTTTATTTAAAGGATCGATAAGTTTACCAGGGTCGTTTCTAAATTTCCGGGCACGGTAAACATTATTGCCGTAAAAATGAGGATGTGCAATCCGGTTTGAAATAAGTTTTCTACAGGTACAACCAAACTTCAAAACCAAATCTTTATATCTGTGGAAGAATTTAATAAAGGTTTTAAGTAATTTGTGGTAACGAAATCCCTGGCTTAATAATTTACCAGTAATACATAGATTACGTTCGTTAAAATCAAAAACGTCAAAACAGACGCCGGCATAGCGAACGAGTTGTGAAATATAAACACCATAAGATGGTGCCAAAGGAACATCACCATCCAAAAAGGGAAAATTAACAATAGGGAACGAAAATCGTCCCTTTTGTTGTAAATTTTAGTGTGGAGTATCCCGTGTAAAACCGAAATATCTAAATCTAGGAAAGGACAGTTGTTACCGTTTAAATTTGATTTATTTGAAGTAAGTTCCTTTAGGTAAATGTCGGCAGTATATTGAGAAAATTCTTGATTATTTAACGAAAAAATATCACCAAGATAACGGTAAGTGTTGTTGGATTTATCAATTAAATGCAATTTAGACGGGTCTTTTCCGAGTTTGGTCATAAACTGTGATTCATAACAGTACAAAAACAAGTCTGCTATTAAAGGGGCGCAATTAGTACCCATAGGAATACCTACAACCTGTCGATAAACTTTGCTGTCGAAACGTACATAAATATTATCAAGAAGAAAATTAACAGCTTCAATCATCTCATCACACCTCTAGTAAGTACATCTAGCATATTAACCTTTCTCATTAGAGAAGAAGGCTTCAAATGAGTTGCAGCAAATATATTTGCATTCAGATTTACCAAACGACCATTTAATTAAATAGTCAAATTTTTGTTTGATAAGATTGTATGGAAGTGTAGTGTAAAGAGTAGAAAAGTCAAAACTGTCAACAGAATCAAAAGGACCATCAAAAGCACGTAATTTATTTAAAACATCAAATGAATTTTTTACACTCCAAAAGTAGTTAATTCCACTATTTTCATTTATTTTATAACAATAGTTTATGATAAGCTCTTTGATAGTAGTTAAGGAACTTGTTAAAAGCACTGAAAGATTAGTTGTAGAACACTTACTAGAGGCCGAGATGAAACGATATCTTACTGGTTTTTTGTGTAGTTTAGTTTAAGTCTGTTTTTTCTGATATCCATTTGACGTGACTCTGTACTTATGTATCCCGTCATACTTTGAACGATAAAATTATTTTATTTTATTAATATTACTTTTACTGTCAAGTCTGTTTTTTTGTGATATCCATTTGACGTGACTCTGTACTTATGTATCCCGTCATACTTTGAACGACAAAATTATTTTATATCTATCTGTGTGACGTCAGACGAGCGATTCTAGGCCAGTACTTAAAACCTTCCATCCTTTATTGGTGGATTATACATAGATAAATAAAATCGTATAATAAAAAAACAAAATTAGGATGTTAAATTTGATGTATACCTTTATGTACTTTTTTGTTACATTTGTTTGTTTTTATAGTGATTAAGATGATAACACAATGTTGACTGCAGTACCCCTATTTTTGACATTTTTACCTATTGTGTGTCTGTTTGTTTTGTTTACGCATCGTTGTCAATATAATGGAATTTGATGCGACTGTCATACAAGTGAGAGGTTTAGCTAGCTATAAAACCAGGGGTTCAATCCACCATTTTCTACATAAGAAATTGCTTGTACCAGGTCAGGAATATGACAGTTGTTATCCATTCATTTGATGTGTTTGAGCTTTTGATTTTACCATTTGATAAGGGACTTTCCTTTTTGAATTTTTCCCAGAGTTCAGTATTTTTGTGATTTTACTTTTTAAATTGTTTATTTCTGGTACCGATTTTACAACAGGTTTTGCAAATCTTCAGCTTATTTAGCGCAAGTATTTAATAAAAATATTTTTTATTTTTTGCATAAAATTACCCTTTTCTCCTATATATGAACAACTGTATGTCCTACTTAATCTTATTACACGTCTTTGTGGTCCTTTGTGCTATATTGTGATTCTTTGTGCACAAAGGCAATCCTTTGCCAAAGCAATTGCGGTGTTTTAAGAAACCGGTTAATAAACGTGACTTTTCCATTTTATTTTTGAATTAATCAATAGACCTTTTTCATTTCCACCTTTTCTTATCGTTATTATAATCACATTATTATGTGGAAAACATGTTTTATGTCTAATCTATTTGCAATAGAGCGTACTCAAATGATAATAAAATAATCCACGGCGATATATGTCCCCCTCCCCCTTTCGCCCAAAAAAGGAAAATGTTAAAATACTTGTGTATTAAACAGGCACTTCTTTCTTATGATCCATCCAAGATGGTATACACAACGGGAACAGTTAACGCTTGAGGCTAAAATGCACTCAAAAGAATTTATGGTTGGTAACATCTACGTCATTTGTTCTTTTGTGGATAGTTGTCTCATTAGCAATCATGTCACTTTCCATATCTCAATAAAACGATATGATCGGCAAAGATTTCTGCAAAATTCCAGCCCACCAGTTTTTGCTCTTACGCCTAAATCAGAAACAAATGGGACATGTTCTCAAATAGTTAACAATGATGAACGGCCCTCACCACAACGTAAGTCAGATATTATTTAAAGCAGCTCATTACACAACTATGGAATGTCAATGTTCTCTCTTGATATGTGTTTATCATGAGATTGAAAAGAATAATCCTCAACACCTGCAGCTACCTTTTTCATCAGTTTTACCTTCTGACTACGTATGTCAATGTTAGTTGTGCTGATACTAATTGCCTTGAGAAATTTAATGACAAGATTTAGAGATTTGATTCTCTGAGAAAGATTTTTATAATTGCAATGACGGATGACGGATGTGAAACCAAAGATAAGAAAATAGCATACTGGTCCTGATGACAAACTTAGCTCGCCTGCATATGATGGATTTATTTCCCAGTTGATACGATATTCCGTAGCTTGTGTTTCGTATCAGGATTTCCTTAATATATGTTTGCTGCTTACAAGAAAGCTATTAAACTAAGGCTTCTAAATGGTAAAGCTGAATTCCTCCCATTTAACGAACGCGATCACGAATGGTTTGGCCGTAATGGAATATCTGTTTCACAGATGAAGATGGACATGTTCCGATTGTCTTATCCAAAAACCCTTCCTCTTTTTTCTCGAATGTGACATCACCTCAGGAGACTTATCCCCCAATCCGTACTTAGATGAGCAACACGACTGGAGTCATATGTGGAGTTTAATCTGATTACCCTTCCGAAGCACCCGAGATCACGCCTGGTTTTTGTAGGTGTTCGAGTTGGACAGTTCATAGCCCTCTATGTTGTGTTCGTAGACAATTATTCGTTTTTATGGTTTGGATATTCCTTTGGTATATTTCGTCTCTCTTCTACAACGCTTTCATATCACAATATACTAACTGTATTTGAAAAATAAAATATCCCAACAGAAGCTACAAGTAATTTTATAAAATAAATACTGCATAAAAAATTATGAACATGTAACTATAATATAATTTACATGACACAGAGTGACCACGAAATGCGTGCATGTTATTTTAAGAAAAGTACATTACCAAAAACTGATAGTATTGACATTCGATTTCCCTAAACATGAAAATTCTTGATCTCAAAAAGGTTAAAAGAGGTAACATTATCTAGTCGCTATCAGAAACCCTCAAGTACATATTAACACACAGCACAATAGTCTAATGGTGATAAGCAAAAGAGAAATACCAGTAAAACAAAAACTACACAGAAATATCAACTGCACGATTGTCACTTATTTCATCATATAAACTAGAAAGCCATCTTTGTCATGAACTCCATCACACGCAACTTCGAAGCTGGAATACAAACTACAGTGTCCAGTTTTTGTCGAAACAACGAATACTTTACAACTGAGAGATGAGGAGCAGTACCTCGCACATTCCGTGGTGCTTCTTGATTTCAGGACTAGGTTGGCCGGTGTTGTAAGTATCGTGTTATTGAAGACTAACATATACGAATTTTCTCCCTGTTCAAAGGGTAACAATCCTGTAAAAATGATTTCTGGATTACATATGCTAGTTTAATGATAATCACACTTTAAATCTAAAGTTTCGGTGAAAGATAAATGAAAAATTCGTGCTCTTGTTTTCAGTTTTCGATGGGATTTACAAGGACACTTACGCATGAGTGTTTTATTGTGTTCATTTTGTTTGACCTTTTATTCATATGTACTTAGATTTGAAATTGATTTGGAAAGTGTATGTGTCGTTATGTTTTACCATTTTATATGTAAAAACACTTTATTTATTTGTATGTTTGTTTGCATTTTATGTGATTTATGTTTACACATTCTTTGCTACATGTACTTGGCCCCAAATACAAATCTGAAGTGGTGTTGTAAAATTGAAGATATTCTGGGTACGTATGCCTTCATCTATGTAGGATTAAGTCAAAAGGTAGACTGAGACATATAAATAAAGCCAACAGTGGTATACCGGTGTTCAAAATTCATAAATTGATTGAGAGAATACAAATCCGGGCTACAAACTAAAACCGATGGAAACACATCAACTATTAGAGTAAAACAAAAGACAACAGGAACACTGAAGTTCAACAAAAACAAACGCCAACATACATAGAAACTAAATATTTGATAACAACTGCCATATTCCTGACTTGGTACAGGACATTTTTAGAAAAAATAGTGGGTTGAAGAGAGAGCAGAAGTGATACTATTTTATGCGAATCTTATGCTATCGTTGAAGTCTCAAATAAAGGTCAAATATATCAACAACAAAAAATTGGTTTAACACATACAATTGAACTTAGATAAAAAAAAAAGTAAATTATATGTATAAACCTTATATTTTTTAATATCGTCTGTGTGCACATTACCTTTTAAACAGAGACCGGACGATATTATTATATTGATATACAAGATATATTGTGTACGTATTATAATATAATATCCATTTAAGACAAATTTTGTCTTTTTTTGAAACAATAAAAAACATATTGACATTAGAGAAAATCAAACAATATTATAGGAAACACTCCTTCGACTTATAAAATGATACCCTTTTTATTTGTACTTAATATTAAAACACTTAACAATCCTATATCATACTTAAGATTGACTGAGGAAATCTAAGTGATCAAAATACTGTTGATAATTTTGACGACTTTAAGTATGTCTTACTCTGCGTTATACTTATTATTGTACTATGTATAAGAGTGATTCATTTAACAAAAATGTATTTGAAACTTCTATTATATCTCTGTGTATGTGATATGGTGAATGCATAGTTAGTTTGTCAAACATTGTATATATCATATAAGCTGTACTTGCTTTTTTTAATAAATTTATATGTATCATTATTATAATTGTCATGTTTCCCAATTATGTCTGTTTGGTTGTTTACCAGTTTAGTCAATATCACGGCAATGTAAACAATTGTCATACAATTGGTATGTTTACCTAGCTATTAAACCATATTAAACCAACTATTTTCGTCGGAAAATGTCTGAACCAAGTCAAGAATACGACAGTTAAACCCAATTCGTTCCGTTGGTTGATAATGACGATAATGTTGTTTTTTAGGTCTGTTGGACTTGAAACAGATATGCTGGAGACATAAAGCTTGAAAAGCCTTAATTAGAAATATTAGATCAAGAAAAAACAAAAACGTCCTAAACATATAAGCCAAAAGCGTCTAGATACAAGCATGCCCCAGAGATATCAATCTTTGTATTAGTCAAATGAAATAACGTATTTTCTGAAACTTTGCAATCAAAAATACCTTTTAATTATGCCAGTACCGAAGCACTGGCGATTGAGAGGCCACCAACGACAAAACCGACAAGAAGGTAGGAAATATATTTATCATACAGATATACATTCGAACTACAAGTGTTTTCGGAATTATTTTCATCAGATGAAACTGAAATCATTTTGAAGAACAGAAAATGCCTATACTTTGAGATTATTGTGACACTGAGAACTATATTTGACATATTAGAATATGTAATATTGGATAAACATCCGGGTTTTTTTTTTATGAAAGTCTTAATTGCATTTGCCAGTAGAACCTTAGGGCATTTTTACGACGCATTCATTCAGGAAATTAAAAATAAAATGTTCTGGTAACAAATTAACTTTGCAACAGAAATGTTTGCTTCTTTATTTTGAGGATCATAAAGCGAAATATCATGATTCATGTTAAAATTGACAAAACTTCCATTATTTCAAACATACTGAGGAGTTTGAAATAAAGCGCAGGGTTCAACTATCTAGTGAAAAATTTAAATTTCTTTTAAGTTTGACATAAGAAAAAACGCTGATCAGTTCATTCAAAACAAAAGGGAAAATGTCCTACCTAGGCATTGTTTTAACCATTATATAATGTGATATTCACCATTCAATCATAGTATTAGATATTAGCAAGGAAAAGTGGTTATATATGGACTTTTCGAATCTACTCCTTAAAAGAATATAAACAACACGTTATATAAATTTCCTAAGCGCTTTTCTCAATTTACCTTCATGAGGAACGCTCAAAGCCAAATATATCTGAAAGCCAAGGACTGATTGATATTTGAATAATAATTGATATTTAAAATGCAATGATACTCCGCAACATCAAGTCTTGTTTTAATTCAATTCCTCTTTCAATACCTGTTTTATATATTGACAATCTCCAACCTCCTCCACATATCTGTCCGGAATCACCAGCACACTCTATATTGCAGTCATAATTCATTTTATACATAGAAGCAACATCATCTGGTCCGTACTGATATGGGTCATCACCACAAAAACAATGTTGAGAAATCTATAAGAAATCGTAATAGTTATTATCTTTTTAATTGAACAGGACACATAAGTTTGTACAAATTTAAAGAAAAACTACATAAACGAATAAGCTATGCATCTGTCTTTTAGGCAATTTTCTAACAAATACTGTGGATTCATTATTATTCATTGGATACGAATTTTCATGGTTTTCGTGAGTATAGGTGAAACACGAATTTAGATGTTAACGAATTACAAAGGTTTCTAAAGGCCTATATGCACTCTTTGTTAAACCACGATATAAAATATCCAAGAATATGCAAGTTTTCCTTAATCCTAAATTGGTACCCAAGAAAATAAATGAATCCACAGTATACTCTGGTTGGCATTCTTTTGTTCTGAAACTATGCAAATTAAGAACTCTTCAGTCAATGTTTAGAAGTTCAAAAGTAAGCAAAAGATATGATATTCTAGAATTCTGAATTGCAAACTATAAATTAGGCAAGCTTTAAACATATTATGTATATCAACAAGTTGAATTTAATAAAAGCTTTTAATAATCGAGAGTACTACTATTTCACCTTTTAAACAATTAATTAAAAAAAGCAGTGTCGAATGTAAAACTTACGGAACTTTCTTTACGAATAATTTGTTATTGCAATGAACTACCACCATGTAAATATAATAAGAAGAGATGTAATGGACTTTGCATACACAAACACTACCCGGAACCCCATATCCTTCCCCATATTCTTCCGGAACGCTTGCGTGAAGTTTTAGTTTTTTTTTAGACTTTTGTTCTCTTCTTGATTATAGTATTTCCTGGTTATTTTTCTCGTATTTTCTTTTGCCGTGTTGTATTCGTCTACTATATTTTTTTCTATAAATCAACTGCAAATATTGGAACATACGATTGAGTAGAAGACTGGTGATTTTGAAAAAAGGGAGCAATTAAACGAATGAGAAAACTATCAGTCGGATGTGAAAGTAAAATAACAAAAATACAGAACTCCGAGAAAAAATCAAATCGGAAAGTCCCTAATCAAATGGCAAAATCAAAAGCTCAAACACATTATACGAATGAATAACAAGTGTCATATTCCTGATTTGGTACAGGCATTTTCCAATGTAGAAAATGGTGGATTAAACCTGGTTTTATAGCTAGCTAAACCTCTAACTTGTATGACAGTCGCATAACATTCTATTATATTGACAACGATAGGTGAACAAAACAAACAGACATAATACATGTAATAGGTAATAATGTCAAAAATATGGGTACAGCAGTCAACCTTGTGTTATAATCTTAATCACTATAAAAACAAACAAATATGTCAACAACAAAAAAAAAACACAAAAGGCAAATAGACAAAGCACATTAGCAAAAATGAAAGAATACAAAAATGTCCATAGCACAATAACACAATGACGGGATGTATTAGTACAGAGCCACGTCAAATGGATATTACCAAAAATAGACTAAAGGGTAAAAGAAATATTCACAAAGACAAATAAAAGAATACTATAACACGTTATTAAGATGACAAACAACATCAGTACCAAGAATCTATAATTCAAGACCACCGTGTATTATTTGTGAAGTTGATACGGAATTTATGAGCAAGGTCTTGGTATCTTCCGATGATTTTTTTTTAGAAAAATGATGACGTCAACTTTCTGCTCGGACACTGGTAAATGCAGATCTAATTATAACACCTTACATTATCACTGATTAAACGTGAAATGAAATGATCAAGTTAATTTTCCTTTTAAAGCAAGAATAATAAATAACCCTAAAAATCATTATGTGCAGGAAATGAATATAAAATGTGTTGATGTGGTATAATTGCCAATTATATAGCTTTCCCGAAAGACCAAAGGACGAGAAAGTAAACTTCAAAACTCAAAAAGTATTCTTTTTCACTTAATGAATGAATGAGCTTTATTCTCATAAACCAAATATATAGTAACAGAGAAGATAATATTACAATAATAACAAATTTTCGTGTGTGAAATACAAATTATTGTTAATTGATATTATGATATATGTTTGGACAAAAGATAAATAAACATATAGTTTAACCAGGAGGATAGACTTTCACAGAAATAGATTTAATAAATCTACAAAGTTTCTCAAGCTCACAACAATTTTGGGTTGAACATACATGTTTGAATTTGATAACATTTATATTTTTATTACAATATTGTGGTAAGTATTTGCCTCTTTCATCTTTGAAATAATTACATGACATGATATCATGGTATTCGTCACCGATGCCAGCTGAGTCGCAAAGGTGACACAATCTTTCATATCTTGGAATGTTGCGCCACCTTCCCGTCTCAATTGGCAAAGAGTTATTTCCACATCTAAACTGCATAATGTTATTCATAAATTAAATGGTAGTACTGATAAATAGTGTTCAAATTTAAAAACATCTTTGCACAAACCATAACACAGCCCCTTGGGTGAATTGCTCATTTCTGTTGACCAATCTTGAATGAACTGGTCTCTTAATCTTTGCTGAACACTTTCTGAAATAAGTTGTGACTTTGCCATAAATTTAACATTCCACAGTCATCAAACATTTTCTTTACATATGATAACCATAGACATAGTTATTGAGATTTACATATAACAGTTTCTTAATAAACATGATATTTGCACTCTTTTCCTTCTTAAAAAGAGGGACGAAAGATACCAGAGGGACAGTCAAACTCATAGATCGAAAACAAACTGACAACGCCATGGTCAAAAATAAAAAGACAAACAGACAAATAATAGTACAGATAACACAACATAGAAGCGACACCAGAAAATGATCATACGTGACAAGACGATAATTAAAATAGGGCATCTTCCAAATTCAGCATATATCATGAAATTGGAAGTTGAACTTTTAGACGTTATATATGCTTGCAAAAACGCAAATGAACTCTCTTTCGAATCCCCATATCTCACATCCATATGTTAGTATAGGAACAATAGCCTTGTCAAACATATCGAGTTGGCACTCGATCGACAAGTTATTCAATCTGGACTTTTTTGTTACAGCATACATTGCATTAACCGCCTGGTCACGTACATATTTTCTGGTGGTTTTTTTCGTTAAAAACACCGTATACTTAAACTTTGTTTGCTGATGCTTTTTTTTAAACAGACAATATGCAAAAGTTTACTGTAGTGTGAACATCTAAATACAAATTATACTTGATAGTGATATTTGATTATTAATCAACCAATGCAATATTAGTCTATAAACGTTTTAAGGATGTTCGCTACTCTGTTTCAAAATAACAAGCTTTTTAAAATACTGTTATTAATTGATAGTATATAAATAAAGGAACTTAAAAAGCAGGAAAAAATGAAGGGTCCGTGTGCTTGTTTTCGAGATATAAGCCATTGTAAATTTGGCGGGAAATTATTTTCTCTAGACTTTTCATATATTTAACATTGGGCCCCTTTTTCTTAAAAAGAATGTGAAAAAATAACAAGGATTTTAAAACAAAGTAAAAAAACGACACTTGATAAATGAAAACAAAGGTCTTGTTACAAAATATAAGATTTTTGCAGTTCGAACAATGAAATTACCTACAAACATTCCGATTCTTAAATGGTATATAAGAGTTTGCATTCCATATCGTAACTTATGTTGCATAATGTTTATGTAAGCAGTTACCTCTGTCCCAGCATACATATAACGCCGATCTTTACAATAGAGTAAACATCTGTTGTTTTCCATTTCATTATGATGTTGTCCATTCAATGGTAACAAATGTGGTAAAAGTCTTATGTGTGTATCAACAAAACAACCAACATAATTATGATCACCTATTCAAAAATTGAAAGAAATATGTAATTTGAATTACACATTCGTAGATGACCAGAACTGTCAACCTAATAAATTGTCTTTTTTCAAGGTTTAATTGGCTGTACATAAAAGTGTATTATCAATTAAAAATAATTAAGTTTCACGAGGATTATAATAAAGTTACACAAAACACTAAACAACTTACTAATAGTTTTTTCAACTGTTTGAATTTCAACTATGAAATTACTTTAAAAATACTAACTATAGGAACATTAAAGAATAACAAACCGTGACAACAGGTGTTTTTTATCTTGTTAACATTAGCCTATAATTCTAACATTCATAAATATGTACTTTATAGCAAAAAATATGTATATTATAAGAATAAGAAAGCTGCGTTAAGGATGTAGTCAAGTGAAATTGTAAAAAATCTGGAATTTTTAATTAATACATTTAATCAGAAGAGCATTAGTTTAGGAACAAAATAAGCTAAAATATTGATAGATTATTGAACTCCTTTTTGAAATATTTGATTAAAAAAACGTGAGAAATGGCTGACTCCGACTTTTACCTTATATTTAGCATTGACATTACTGTAAATTCAGAAATTATTGCGATGTTTTTATTATTGCGCAAATTGCGACAGGGTTATAATCGCAATAATTTAAACTCGCATTTTGAAATTTTTTGTATGAATTAAACAGGATTTTTCTCAATATCGCAAAAAATTAAAATCGCATTTTTGTCTAAAATGACAAAATCGCAATAATAAATGCACGCAATAATTTCTGAATTTACAGTAATTAGGTCTCAAATAGTAAGGAAAGAAATGTAGAATCTGCTTAAATTTTGGTTATGACCTTTAATGAGCTTTTGAAGTCTTCTATAAAAAGGAAATGGGGACAAAATATTTTATCTTGTATCGTAGGAAAAAACCAAACGAGTCCGAACATCTGACAACAATTCTTAAACCTGATATGATTACATCCTTAAACAAAATAAATGCAATTGTTAAAAAGAAAAACTAACCAGTTACTTGTAGTCCACACTGAAAACGGAAAAGAGATATTAGTATTGCAATTACAAATCATCAATAATAAACAAAATGATTTCAAAATTACGAGAAAATTTTGACATATCAATTACATGTCAAAATGAAAATTAACCAAAGTCTTCCGGTTTGCACAGGATGTTTTAAATAATGGAGAATGGTTCATACGTAATGTTTAGACATTTTAAAACTATAACATGATAAAAATGTCAAAACAAGATACAGAATCATTAAACTCCATAAATAAAGGTCAACAACGTCAGCAGGTCTGCAAACCTTCTGTCAAAGACCATGAAGACCTGAGTCTAAATCTAACACAGTAGGAATAGTGTCCGGCTGAGATCGTTTTTTTTTCGAGTGAATCGGTCTACTTTTTTCGAGAGATATAACATGCTATCAGAGCGATTTACTTCTTTTTCGCAAGTAAACTAGTATGCTTCACTGTTTACTTTAATACTATACATATTTAAAGCACAAACTAAACACAATTTGCTTGATTTCTTTTTTAAATTCAGGGTTGTACATTGTCCTTGCTTTTTTCGAGAGCAATAGTTAAACCGTTCAAATTTCCAAAAAACGGTCCGAGTATTTTCAAAGAAATGTAAATTAGAAAGAACGCATGCTTTGCATTTAGAGTTGACTATTTTTAGTTTATAGCTGTAATTTAGTGAAGAACAACTTTATATTTCTCCAATAAGTCACAAAAGCATATTACAATGTTGATCCAGTTTAATAATGTTCGATTTGATGCTAATATTCTGAAATCTAAGACCTTTTACAATCACCTTGAAGTATTACGATACATAAAAATCATTGGGTCTATTTAAAACGGTATCTAGAATGGTACAATGGACTCATAATCTTTACAACTTTTGTTTTTACACGCAATAATCTTTTACGATTGATATTTATATAATAGTGGGGAATCCTTGAGTTATAAAAATAGAGTTATAAAATCTAAGTAAAAGCAGCAAAAAAATCTGCAAAAATTCAATATAAACACACATATTCTACTAAAAGAGGCCTCCAGTCAAAATGATAATACAATAGCAAAAACAAAACAAAAACAGGCACATTTAATCCACACATGTTCTATTTCCCATTGACAATAAGATTTAAAGTAAATGGAATATTTAAAAAAAAAAAGAAAACAAGAAGGCCGAATCTGTATTCTTGACCTCCCTTCAGTTGATAACAGCAATAAGAACCGAAACATTTGAAAAGCTATTTCAACAAAAGGGACCAAAAACGCCGAATCCATCTAAGGTTCAACTTTGCCTGAGGAAGTTTAAACCTTAGTTTCGTTATACTTTTTGAATCAGTAAACGAACAATTTTATATGATTTATTGTTGGTTTCTTTACGTCCAGTGGTAAATATTTTATGCATGTTCAGGATGAGAAAAAAATAACAATAAATACAATAGGTATTCCTGTAATAGAGGCCACTCGCATTGGAGGTCGGAAAATTGAGACTGCTACTAGAAAAGAAGGTATATCGGATAAAGACATACATTTAGTATTCCAACAAACCACATGCAGACCCCTGTAAGAGTTGTTGTACGGATTCTACGCGTGAAAAGAGCGTGTTCTCACGCACAGCCAAACGGATACCTAACTTTAGCAAGGGTTTCACTGCCTAGTAGACCTAGGTGACCACTTTTCTATTCCCACGCCTCCTTGCAGATACAAATTTTTAGAACAGTTTGTTATACATCATAACAGTACCGAAGTTCCAACTACTGAGCTGATGATAAGGTCGGGGGCTTATCAAAAATATTGAATACACAATGTAATAAATAATCCATAAGCATTGAAACGATTCTTTTTATATAATACAAAAAAAAACGAGATGCGCATATACTTTGCGTACGCTTCGCAAATGTACATCGTACATTTTTTCTTATAATTTCTGATGGAAAGGAATCTATGATGGTGCGTAAATTTTGAGTGACCAAACATACTATACACTTGATCAGACTTCACAGTAGGAGCATTTGCACATTGTTCTTGTTCATCATTTCTTGAATGATCAAACACATTATTTAAACCTTTTAATTGTTTTTTTAATTGTAATTTCACTAAAATATTATATTTTAAGCCATTTGAATTTTTGGTTTTCATTCAATAAAAAACCGACGCACTCTGAAAACAAGGACTGCTCTCGAAAAAACACGGACATATAAAAATGAATTTACTCTCCAAAATTTTCTTAGGCATGCAATAACAAGATTTTCTGTAAATTGTCTGCATATTGTAGTATATATATTGATTCCGTGTATGCACTCTTCCTTTGATATTTGCATTGGTATATGTATAAAAATAGCTTTAGTCTATATTTTAGAATAAATCATTATAAAGCTAAGTTAAAAGTTTCTAAAACAAAATAATGAAGGGTTGATAATATATTGTTATCCCATATACTAATGCACCTGGTATGATCTTGTATATAAGGTTCTAGCAACTTTTGTTACGTCTTACTAGAATAAATGTCTGTTTGTTTACACATTTACTCATAAACACGTGGTCACACTCGAAAAACTCGATCAACACTTTAATTTATGTTTGGAGAATATCATGACGAAAAGCATATATTTAAGTCAGTGTTTTCTTTAAATTATGCCAAATAGGGTTTATATCTTTTTCATTTGAACTATGGTGGATTGTTGTCTCAGTGACAACCATGCCACATATTATCATTTTTTATTACGAAACATTCATACGTTAAAAATTATCAGTAAGTTTTTACTGACAATAAAGAGTGGAACAAACGTATTTTGCAATTAAACTGTAAATATAAAAGTGATATACTAATTAATACCAAACTTTCGTGATGTAAATTTTGTTGATGTTACGAATATTGTTTTCAATAACTGTTCAAATTACCGTAATTTGGGACATTTTTGGATATAGTCATATTTTAGTAAACGTTGCGCCTAAGCATTAATGCAAAAATTTAACAATCTCAAATTGAACGTTTTCATCAAAATGAACGACAACGATTATTAAAACATTAATCTGATTTATATACCTATGCATGCTATATGGGGTTACTTCCTAGCTTTTAGCACGATCGGGCTTTCTTTTGACCAAACAACCCGAACGATACCAAGTTTTAATGAAATGTGCGTCTATGCATAAATTAATTACCTGTGTAGGGTTATTATTTTTCCTGATTTAAATGCCTGCTACAGTTCACAATATAGTGATGAGTGGGAACAAATTGAGGTTTTAATGTACAATTTTTCATCCTTAATACTCTTTAAAGGTTTCTTTGGAAAGAAATATCATTTTCTCCATGCATTATACTAAGTATCAAAAAACATCGATTCTCAACAAATAATGTGAAGTTATGTTAAATCATCGTTACAATGAAGGGACATTACCTACGATAAACTACGTATGCAAAAATGTTCAAAACGCTTTTAAAACATGCTAAATTTCATTCTATTCATGTGTACAAAAATGTAGAAATATATATATATATGAAAAAAGGAAGAATTTTCAAATCTTGTTGACCAATATTAGTATAAAAAATCGTACTAAGACCTATGAAATTTTTTTTGTGTTGCAATTTTGTGCTGTCTTCGTGTCAATTCGTACTTTTTCAACATTTATAATAACTTGCACTCAATTAAATTTCAATGTTCTCAATGTATCTTGAACACAATCCAATTTTAATGTTCTGAGTTTATATAGGGGAACAACCACGTAGTTTACTGAGAGTGAGAGGCTTTTATGTCTTATCATTATTCTCAATTTTCATGAAAAATTGTATAGCCAGACAAAAGAGAGAAAGCAATTGTTCTGAATAAATTAATCTAAAATTGTTGGAAAAAAATATTCTGTTTTTTGTCGCGCTAAATATTGAAGCTAGGGAGAAAACACTTAATAAAGGCCATACATGCATGATAAATTGTATACCGAAGTAACTTGCTTTTTTAACAATTCATTTTTACTTTCTTCAATGATTTCAAATGTAAATTAAGCAACAATTTTGATGTAAATGAATATTTATTAAAACTAACTTTGATAGCTAAATTTGTGAGTTTTATTTCACCTTAAAAATGACCGTTGGGCGTGGTTATACCTTAACACACCAGAAAAGAATCTCACACTTCTATGTGATGTGTAAAAAAAGTTACTATTTCGTGCAAATATTTGCAGGAAATAATACTTTTAAGGTATATAAGTCAGATAATGCAAACTTTCGGAAAATCCTAAAAATATGCATTCAACAGAAGGAGTGTGAAAAAAGTAAATTTATTGAATAAACAAGAAATGATTGTAACAGGATGCTGTTACGAAGTCTCCCAAACGAAGCTCCCATAATTCGTAATTCCCAGGGTCGCCTGACATTTGGCAAAGTCCAGTGAAAATTGGTTTGGTCCAGTAAAGTTATATGCATTAGTGATGCCTGGGGACTAACCCTGTATATCATTCAAATCATCTTGGCATGACAAACAAGAATATATATGGTTTAGGGGTGGGGATCTCAACCATTTACAAGATATTAGAACTTTCTCAAATGGCAGGGGGTCGGGATGACCCCTGGGGACTAACCCTGTATATCATTCAAACCATCTTAGCATGACAAACCAGAATATATATGGTTTAGGGGTGGGGATCTTGACCACTTACATGATATTAGAACTTTCTTAAATGGCATGGGGTGGGGTTGACCCCTGGGGACTAACCCTGTATTTCATTTCATGTGCTTTATCATGACAAACCAGAATATATATGGTTTAGGGGTGGGGATCTCGACCATTTACAAGATATTAGAACTTTCTCAAATGGCAAGGGGTCGGGTGACCCCTGGGGACTAACCCTGTATATCATTCAAACCATCTTAGCATGACAAACCAGAATATATATGGTTTAGGGGTGGGGATCTCGACCATTTACAAGATATTAGAACTTTCTCAAATGGCAGGGGGTCAGAATGACCCCTGGGGACTAACCCTGTATTTCATTTCATGTGCTTTATCATGACAAACCAGAATATATATGGTTTAGGGGTAGGGATCTTGACCACTTACAAGATATTAGAACTTTCTTAAATGGCATGGGGTGGGGTTGACCCCTGGGGACTAACCCTGTATTTCATTTCATGTGCTTTATCATGACAAACCAGAATATATATGGTTTAGGGGTGGGGATCTCGACCATTTATTAGATATTAGAACTTTCTCAAATGGCAGGGGGTCGGGATGACCCCTGGGGACTAACCCTGTATATCATTCAAACCATCTTAGCATGACAAACCAGAATATATATGGTTTAGGGGTGGGGATCTTGACCACTTACAAGATATTAGAACTTTCTTAAATGGCATGGGGTGGGGGTGACCCCTGGGGACTAACCCTGTATTTCATTCAAATCATCTTGGCATGACAAACAAGAATATATATGGTTTAGGGGTGGGGATCTCAACCATTTACAAGATATTAGAACTTTCTCAAATGGCAGGGGGTCGGGATGACCACTGGGGACTAACCCTGTATATCATTCAAACTATCTTAGCATGACAAACCAGAATATATACGGTTTAGGGGTGGGGATCTTGACCACTTACAAGATATTAGAACTTTCTCAAATGGCAGGGGGTCGGGATGACCCCTGGGGACTAACCCTGTATTTCATTTCATGTGCTTTATCATGACAAACCAGAATATATATGGTTTAGGGGTGGGGATCTTGACCATTTGCAAGATATTAGAACTTTCTCAAATGGCAGGGGGTCAGGATGACCCCTGGGGACTAACCCTGTATATCATTCAAACCATCTTAGCATGACAAACCAGAATATATATGGTTTAGGGGTGGGGATCTCGACCATTTACAAGATATTAGAACTTTCTCAAATGGCAGGGGGTCGGGATGACCCCTGGGGACTAACCCTGTATATCATTCAAACCATCTTAGCATGACAAACCAGAATATATATGGTTTAGGGGTGGGGATCTTGACCACTTACAAGGTATTAGAACTTTCTTAAATGGCAGGGGGTGGGGACGACCCCTGGGGACTAACCCTGTATTTCATTTAATGGGTTTTATCATTTAGAACATTTTCAATTAAAAAGATTGTGTCTATCACAAACGGTTTTCAATTTATAATCATTTGAAAATCCCATAGTAAAACCCTCTTTTCTTTTTGCCCCTCAAAGTACCCCTTTATAAACCCCATTGCACAAACAAAACCCTGATTGCACCACTAGACATGTAAGTCTAACATATTGTAAAACCCTAAGTTAATCTGACAAGCGGTTTTGGAGAACGGGTGCGGACAAGTTCAAATTTAAAAGCGGCGGAAGAGGAAGAGGAAGAGGAAGAAGAATAATAATAATAATAAGAACTGAGCAAAAACAATAAGTCTTCCCAAACTTCGTTTGGGAGACTTAAAAATGAAAACAACACGTTATAAATTTAATGCGTCCGAAGCGCTTTTCTGGATTTACCTTCATCAGGAACGCTCAAAGCCGAATACTTGAAAGCTAAGGGTGTATAAGAACCGAAACAGTTGAAGAGCTATATGACCAAAAGAACCTAAAAATAGCCAAATCAATCTAAGGTGAACTTTGCCTAAGGGAGTTAAAACCTTTGTTTCTTTATAACTTCAAAATTCATAAACAGACTATTTAAGAAATGTTTGTTATAAATCATGTCTGTACCGAAGTACTGACTACTGAGCTGATGATACCCTCAGGGACTAATAGTTCACCAGCAGAGGTATCGACCCAGTGCTGCATAGTTAATGGGGTCGACGCATCAAATTGTTGGTAGTTTTATCATTCCTTTCACTTGGGTACCAGTTTGAAACATTTATCTCAATACACTTTAATTAATCAAATTTACCTTCAAAAGATCTACACTCAGTATTTATGTCAATCTATTGCAAATAATTACGAAATTTTAGGATGATTTTTTTCAAATAAGTATCCGAATGGTTTGTTCCATTTAGATGTCAAAACAATGATTACATATATGATATTTTTGATTGTTACAAAATGTAACTTTAATTGGTTTACAATCATTACTAAAGTCAAATTATTGCAAGAAATATATATTTTTTTTTTGTAATCGATTCTTTCAAATTATTACCATGTTAGTGTTTTATTCTGAATCTTTTTTATTTTGTTTATTCAGGTGACAGAACTATATTTATTCGATATGCATTATTATATACTTTATTAAACTAATTGAACAACAACTTTCATATGGCAAAATTAAAATACGTAATCGGTCCAAAGCGCCAAAATTTAACACAACAATTTTTAACCACTACTATCTCATGTGTCTTTATAAAAACCGCAAAAATATCTATTTGCCCAAATATCTTACAGTATGATAATCATTATCATAGTTTGAAAAAAGAACTTTGTTTTGCTTGTCTTATATATGCTCATGACCAAAAGTAAAATCATAACGTCTGATACTTTTTTTGGCGCAAGACATGTTCTTATCTCGGCACCAAATCATTGATAATACACTCGGCCACGGATATTGTTCGTTTATTGTTGAAAAACCTCACATTGAAGAACACCGTCACACGTTAGCTCTACTTTATCTTAAACCGATTTTCACGGGAAAGATGAATCCAACGCTTTTTGTGGTAGAGGAAAAAATTACCGTTCTTGAAGTACCCTGCAAAAAAGGTCATTTATATTTACTTTTGTGACACTTTCTCTGTTACATGCAATTGATTATAAGAACGCAAAAAAAATTTAACTGAAGAAGAAAAAAATTTTAATCAATGAGGAGTCGAAACGCGCGTCTGACGTATTAATACATTTATAAGCCTGCTATGTTTGATGATTTTTTGTTTTACCGATATTCAAATCTTATAAGTCGATTAGGAAAACAAATAAAGTCACAAACAAAAACAGAGGATCGATGGCATGAACTTCAAAAGGAGAGAGACCAGGTAAGCGTCTTCTTCTTTGTCTGCATATCACCCCATGCGATTCCATACTCGTTATTAAAAATACAAAATTCTCATACAATACTTTTTTTCTTTAAAAATTTATTGTGTTTTAAAGTTAAGATTTGTATAATAATAATTTACAACTATGTTTCGATTAACAGATAATGAGTTACCTTAATGGAATTCACAATTCTAGCCAAAATCAACAAAACAAAAGAGTTTATCATCATCCTTCTTTCCCGAGTTGCACTGACAGAAAATAATTATGTAAAATGACACCCAGACACACGAGACAAACTGAGTATTAGGTTCTTACTGATTAATTATTTAATGAGAAATAATTGCATTTCTATCGTGAAGTAATTTTCAACTACAATAATCAATTTTGAATGTGCTAATTATCAATCATATTAAATTAATTCGATAAAACAGGAACGGCTGGATGAAAAAGAAGACTATATACAAATAAGAAGATGTGATATGCTTGCAAATGAAACATCTCTGCACAAGAGATCAAATGACACAGAAATTAACCACTATAGGCCACCGTGTATGTCTTATTCTAATGTCTTAAATACTAACGTTATTCCCCAGAAATTTTAAGCAACACTTTTAGATTTGAGTTTTATTGAACACCAGAATGGACAACATATGTAAGAAAAAGCTGTATCATGTTTTTAATGTGTTTATTAAAAAAAAAAAAATTAGCATTTTTTTTTTACAACAATAAAATCATCAGACTTATACGACAGCTTTCCTGTAACCCAACATTCCTGATTTAACAAAATAACAAAGTTTACTAAACCAGTGTTGAAACATCGCCACTTTTGTGATATAATACCCCACACTAGGATCACGATCCTGCTACGATATCAGAAACTATGAAAAATTTTGGAAGTCGTAGTAAGACTATTGTTGTCGTGATACGGTCGTAGTAAGGACGTGCCAGGTCTTCATGATCGTGGAGGTCTACGACCAACTTTGAACATGCTCAAAACATTCGTTGTGCAGTCGTGGCCAAAACTAGTCGTAGTGGAAGCGTAGGAAGGTCGTAGTATGGTGTAGTAAGATCGGGATAGGCGTAGAAGCATCGTATTGGAAACGTGGTGCAATCGGGGAAGCTATACTGCTACTACGTACTTGTCGTCTTCAATACGACCTCACCACGATTCTAGTACGTCCTATCCACGATAATTGCACGACCTAATTCTGTTGATACCTCTACTTTAGCACCACGACCTCTTAATGTTTTTGATACTTTTAGTGGCATGTTTTCTCAAGGAAACAGGTATGTACAATAGAGAAGTCAAGATATCTATAGGGACGAAGAGCGTAGTGACAACGTAGTGGAAACGTAGTGGAGTCGCCGTTTGGTCGTAGAAGAATCGTATTGAGATCTTAATGCGATCGGGAAGGTCTTTGTAGAAGCGTAAAGAGATCGTGTAAGTCGTGGTAAGATCTTATTAGACGTAACAAGAGCGTGGCAAGATCGTAACTAGAACGTATTACTGTCGTAGCGAAAACGTAGAAGGATCTTATCAGGATCATAGCAAGGTCATGGTATAAACGTGACAAATATGAAATATTCAATATTCAAGCCGACCATTCCACGATCTCACTGCCATTATATTTTTTTGTAGATCATAGTGGGATCTTCATGGTCTTGGTCTAGTGTGATAAAGGCTTAAAAGATACACTACAAACCAGGCTATCTTAATAATCTAGAAACAATTCAGCATCGGTGGTCGAGTGGTCTAAGTAGTCGAACATCGATCACGCAGGTATGTTAATGCTGTTCTAGAGTAAATTGGCTATTTATTCATAAAAAATCATTAAAATTTGAAAATATTTTGAATTTTAGTCTAGAAACTTTCATACCCAAAACTAATTTTGATCATCCCTTACATCATCCGCACTTTGAATTTCTGCTGTCTCAGAACCCCCCCCCCCCCCCCCACCTCGTTACCATGGTAACGGGCGACATTCAAAGATGGCGTGTGAACTTTCATCTTCAAGAGCCCGGCACACCCCAAAGAACTACACCAATGAATGAAAAAAAAGTTGTATTTGGTTGACAAAGATGTTATCTTTCCTGTAACAGCTGTTTTTTCGTTAAATATGTCCTTTTCTAATAAAAAATATAACAGAAGTAAAAGTGTTCATGAATCTTGAAAAAATCACGGTGCATACGAATGTCATGAGGAACAAAAGGGAGGATACTCTAACGTTATACTTTGAAAAAACTTTCGTAACCCCATGTTCTCCACATATGTGCCGATTGTAAGTAAAATTAACTTGGTTACTTTCCTAACTACGGTTCTCATAGGGGGTTTACGACTTAAAGATAGGACAAAGGTTTAGGAAAGTAAGATAACGAGATGACGAACGACAAAACAGTCTTTCTAAAACAAAATGATTCTCCTGATAAGAAAAAAAAAGTTTTAACCAGCACTAGTGCATGGAAGTATGAAGCCCCTTCTATCAAACTCATGTTTCATGAGAAATATTAATCTACTCAGCCCTGATAAAGTTGTTTTTCAATGTTTGTTTTTAAACATTTTTTAAATAGTTCACTGAACATTTATAGTATGGAATTCCAACATGACATGTGTAAATGGATCTTTTCTTTGAAACAATATCTCGAGCTATGTTCATTTCATAGTAAATTAATAAATTTAAAAACAGGTCCATGCATTGGTCCAGAATTAAAACAAGAAAAAATATAATACTAGGTCATGTACATGATGTAGGTAAATACAGTATTATTATGTATAGAAAAAAAATAAGAGATTTCCTTTAAGTTTGTTTATTCAATAAAGTTATATGCATGTGAAAGCCATTACTTCTTCAAGAGTTCATTATGAGACCAGAGTATTATTTGACTATTAGATACATAACGTCTTTATCAAAAGTTTCAAATAGTTTTCTCAAACTTAATACCAAAAGCATTGTATATGTCATACTAAACTGAAAGTCCTTATCATAATGCATACAATACTTTCTTGTGGTTTTCCATTATACATAATAAATGTAGACATATATCGTCCTGCTGATTTTCATATGTTAATATACTGGAAAATTCTTATTGAATTCCTAAACTTGTATTTTATTTCACATGTAACATGCAAAGAATATTCCTATATACATGTAAGATATTGTGAATTACAATATATATACCAGTAAGTACATGCAGTTACCAGCCTGCCAAATATGATGTTTGAATTATAATTCTCACTCATTTCACAGTTTTATGTATATATCCAAAATAATCTCAATAACTGCCATATAATGAATAATGATATGAACATTTCCTTTTGTGTGTTGATCTTACAGGAAAGAAAAGCAGTCATTTCCTCTGGTGTAATACTTTTATTTCTTTGTCTTCAATGTTTCAGAGTCAGTTTTAACAGTCATGTAATTGTTCCTTTTGTTGTCATATTGAAAATTGCTTCATTCCAAAAGTCACATGTGACATGGCATGGGGTTATTTTATATTCAGCACTTGTTAGCTTATGCCATCACTTGGCGTCCGTCGTCGTCCGTCGTCTGTCGTCTGTCGTCGTTGTCGTCGTCTGTTGTCGTCTGTCATCGTAAACTATTTTTAAAATCTTCTCCTCTGAAACTACTGGGCTAAATACCTTCAAACTTTAACTAAATGTTCCTTAGGGTATCTAGTTTATAAATTTTATATCTCAAAAACTAAAGCTTTTAGAGCAAATCTTACAAGGAATAAAATTGTTCAAATGGTCAAGATCTATCAGCTCTGAAATTTTCAGACGAATCGAACAACCCATTGTTGGGTTGCTGCCACCGAATTGGTAGTTTTAACAAAATTTTGCAGTTTTTTGTTATTATTTTGAATATTATTATAGATATATATAAACTGTAAGCAGCAATTATGTTCAGCAAAATAAGATCTACAAAAAGATTAATATGACCATAATTATCAATTGACCCCCTAAGGAGTTATTGCCCTTTAAAGACAATTTTACACAATTTGTTCATCAAGTTTGCTAACATTTAAAAATATTCTCCTCTGAAACTACTGGGCCAATTACCTTCAAACTTTAACTAAATGTTCCTTATGGTATCTTGTTTATAAATGATATCCGAAGTTTGTATCCATCGACAAACATGGCCGCCATGGCTAAAAATAGAACATAAGGGTCAAATGCAGTTTTTGGCTTATACCTCTGAAACTAAAGCATTTAGAGCAAATGTGACATGGTGTAAAATTGTTTAATTGGTCAAGATCTATCGGCCCTGAAATTATCAGACGAATCGAACAACCCATTGTTGGGTTGCTGCCACCAAATTGGTAGTTTTAACAGAATTTTGCAGTTTTTCGTTATTATTTTGAATATTATTATAGATATATATAAACTGTAAGCAGCAATAATGTTCAGCAAAGTAAGATCTACAAAAAAGTTAATATGACAAAAATTGTCAATTGACCCCTTAAGGAGTTATTGTCCTTTAAAGACAATTTTACACAATTTGTTCATCAAATTTGCTAACATTTAAAAATCTTCTCCTCTGAAATACAGGTGAGCGATTTAGGCTCTTGAGAGCCTCTTGTTATAGTTTTGTTATATGTCGTCTAGCTTTTATCTTTAAAACATTCATTTCACCTCCTTTTCATGCATAGATCTAAAACTATCCCCATATATGGTTATAAATTGTTTGTCAATTTCCTTGTGTGTGTTGATCTTCAAAAGAATACTTGTATAACACCATTGCCTCCAAGTCATCTGAATACATATACTGAACAAAATTATGTAAACATTTAGTGGCATTTTAAAGTTATTAGTATTGAATGTTATGATACAAAAGGAAAACTTCAGTCAAAATTTTGTGTTCCTAAATTATTATTGGATTAAAAGTAAACTTGACAAAAAGTTCTTCATTGATTTAAAATGAACTTTTAATTGATGAATTTTCTATAAAAGTACAATACAGTTCTTAAGTACAACTTACTTCAACTGATATTTACCCATCAATTTGTTATTAATTAATATGACTTAGTCAATATTAAGTGGATGTGACTCAATACAACAGACAACATATATATTCACATAACCTGAGGGGCTGGATGGTGTTTACAGAATAGATAATAATCCTTATGGGCAAAAAGTGGAGAATAAAGGGCTGAAAATTTAAAGAATAAAAATTGACCAATAATAAAAGAGAATAATAGGGTGTTTGAATACAAAGAATAGAGAATAATGGGCAAAATAGATAAAGAATGGAGGAAATTG